TACCTCGAAAACGAAGTGATTGAGAACAAAAGATTCTATGACTCTTTTTATTATCACATAATAATCCTTTAAAATTTGGTCAGGCATTTTAGTTATCATAAAAACTGCGCCTCATAAAGCAAGTAAACAAAGAGAAATACAGGTACTAGAGATTATAAAATCAAGACATATTTTCTTAGAATAACTATTGAGAGGTATTGTATGTATTATATGGAACCGCTCATTAAACTGTAACGAACAGTATAAAGACAGATACAGTTGAGCCTTTGGATCTTTACGTTCAAGTCATCAAATATAATCATATGAACTAAGATTTCAAACGAGTTCAAATCTGTGGCTGTGTTCATAAATTACTGTTCATAGTTCATCTTCTTTATCATTAGCTAGTTCACTTTGATCAATAACTGAACATTTGTCTTTTATATTGATGTATGTTTATGACATGAACATAAAGATCCAACTAACTGAAAAGCACACAACAATAAAGAAGTAATTATTACAATTTTAAAACTGCAATAATTACCTAAATTATACTATACTCCACGGTCGAAATTATAGAGAGTGACTAAGACATAATATAAATACACTATTACTATAATGCGCATAAAATATAAAATGATTTTTATAACGGTTCAATATTATTTATCTTTGTGCCGCTCACTACGCACATCGATAGAATCTATAATCGTCTATAGACTGAGTTACACTGAACGTCGATCTATATTCTATCTCTGTCTTTTGCACTTGCTAGGGAATAGGGAAAATCTTTTTTAGTGGGTGTAAACGGATTTGATTTAGCCGTCCTGAGAAACGTCATAGCATAAGCGTAGACGAGGGGTCTAATTCCATTGCTATAATAAATTTATTAATTAAAAAAACACAACTGGGACGTTTTAAAATGCTGTAATAATTAAAATGGATCAAAGTGCCGGTTATAGCAAACCGTAAAAAAATATTAGATGTTATGTTTTATTATCTTTTTTCAATATTTTCTATATCTTGTTGCCTTTTACGCAGACACGCCAATGGATTTTCGTTCCCGGCACGCTTCATCCCCCTTACTAGTCCAAAAGCTAGCGATGAGTCACTCTATATAATTTCGACCGCGGAGTATAGCTAATACTACTAAAAAATCTAGGCGTATGTAAACACGAATCACATTATTCTGCCCTTCAAACAATTAACGAGAAAAAATTTTAAAAACAGTGGCAATACATTTTAAGGGCATAACAGTTCGAGGAAATATGATGAAACATGGTACGCTATAGGAAACACAGTAGAAGACAAATGTCGATTGTAATAAAAATTGCTACAATCAACTTGAAGCTTTAGTCTTCTTGTTTGTTTGAATTGTTCTTTTGAATTTTTCTAGACATGCTTATATACTTACCAAATCTAAATTTGATCTTGATTGGAAAATATTTAGTTCAGTAATTAATTAAACTAATGTTACCAGTTGTTGCAGTCAACCAAGCCGGTGTCTGTTTATAATTTATAAAATAATAAAAAATCTTACTTTAAATGAGTGAAAATATATTTTAGAAATATATAGATACTCAGTGTCTCACGTGAAGGGCGTTGTGCATATTCAACTGTTTTCAATTGTTTCCCTTATTCCTTATTGTGTGAGTTATAACCAATTTTGATTCTTCCAACAGTTTCCACGATTATATAAAAACAGCTCACTGACATGTGACAGTGAAATTCGTTCAGGATTTTTGTAATCGATAATACCTAATGTATGTGATTTGCTACTTCTTGAAAAATGTATTTAAAAATTACTTTCTTATTTACCTTGGAATAAGTTTAATTTCAGTTGACAACAATCTGAATAATGAAAAAAATTGATGTTTATCTAATGTATAATTCAAACGCAACATGTTATAATCGACACCATCAGGTAACATCTTGTTTAATCTAACTCATTTGTAATGTAAGAAAACAAGCTAAATCAGAATAACTGATCCGATCACAGTTAATAACTACTAAGGAGCAACTACTACAACTATAACTTTTGCTGATAATACCATGAATATGTTTGCTTCAACTGACATCCATTCCACACGTCTCCCCTGTTTTTTTTTTTAGAAATGATAATTGCCACTACTTTACATTCAAAATATACATACTGTAACTGTCCCTACAAATTGAATAGAGTTAAGGTTTTCCAATTTTACATTTGCCTAATTCTGTCATATATTTTATATCTTCGATCGGCGCCTCCACCATTTTTTGTTTTTCGTTTTTAATTAGACATGATTATATGTTAGAACCGTACATATTTTTAAAATAAGAGCCTAAAAAATCTTACTCTCTGCCAATGTAATTTTCAGTAACAAATTTTGACAACATTTGTACATGACACAAAATAGAAAAACAAAACAAGAATAAGTAATTTAAAACAATAATTTAATGGAAAAAAAACTATCAAAATATATTTTCAATATGGGCACCTTCCTCCTCCATACACTTCCTAAGTCTACGATTGTTATTTGTTTGTACACGAAAAAGCATTTCTGGGGTAATAATAGGTCCATACGTTTTTGAGGAACGTCTGAATGGACATCAATATTTGGAGTTTTTGCTAAATAATTTGCAGCCACTATTAAAACGATATTCCATTAAACACAGAAAGAAACGTTTGGTTCATGCATGATGAGGCTCTTTCCTAGTTCAACATTAATGTACGAAATTATTTATCCATTGTATTTAATAATAAATGGATTGATAGAGGACAAATTTCATGGCCAATACGTTCTCCAGACTTTAATCCGATGGACTTCTTCCTGTGGAGATACCTGAAAAGTTTAGTGTACGCAACCCCAGTACAAACAAGGGACGAATTGCTACAAAGAATTAATTTCCATTGTGATAATATTAGACATACCCCAGAAATGCTTTTTCATGTACAAACAAATAACATTCGTAGACTTAGGAAGTGTGTGGAGGTGGAAAATGCCCATATTGAAAATGTATTTTGATAATTTTCTTTCTTTTAAATTATTTTTTTAACTTATTCTGGTTTTATTTTTCTATTTTGTGTCGTATAAAGTGTGTTTCACAAATATTTCTTAAACTGTTAATTTTGCCGAGTTGAACCAACAGGGTATTATCGTTGACAAATTCTTCAAGGAACTAATTTTTGATGCAGGCAGGTTGCGATCGTCTCTATGCAAAAATTCTGGGTTGTTAACCATTGAGCATAGTCCGTCCATGGCGTTCTGGGCATGATGAAGTTTCACTTACAACATCAAAAACAAGCTGTCCACATGTGTTGTCGATCACCAAATTTGCATCATGCTGAAGTTAATAGTTTAGACACTAAATAAAAATAACTTTTTAATTTTCACCTTTGATGGCCTGTAACTTGTTAACGAAGGCCCTTATGAACAAAAAATGTATATAAAGAACAGGTATTATTTTGACCTCATCTATTTGTACTCGACATTTTTGTATCAAGTACCGGGACATCCTGTATATCTATCATACTAAAACGAACATTTTTAAAATAAATATTCTCAAATGATTAGTCACATTTAGAATGTAGATAATTGTTCTCAACTAGACAAGTGTTGTAATAATTATTATGTAATAGCGAAGAATTCACACTCCTACAATAAAACATGGTGTCCATATGTTTTTGGGGTCGCTGAATATGAATTCGGTGTCCGTTTGATCCGATCAGGTTAGCGATAAGGTCAGTTCAAGCTCAAATATAAAGAATCAATAGCCAACAAAGTAAACCTACATATCTATACGCTTTTGGGGTTGCTGAATCAAAGTTCGACGTCCATTTGACCCGATCAGGTCTGCTAAATAGTCCCAAGTTCTAAATTCAAAACACTCAAGCATTTATGCGTTCTAAAATTTGAGTAACAAACAAGATTAAAGAAAGAAAGCTCTAACTCTGAGCCCGTGACTCTTGAGTTAATTGTTTTGACAAGACAAAATTCTAGTACCAAGTCCGCGTCGATTGAGATTCTTGGTTTTTTGCCTTGATGAATCACATCAAATCACTATATGTATCTCACTATTATGAATCGCTTTTGTGATATTGAACTATTTTGTCGGAACACAATCAAATTCCTCACGTTGGAGTTTAAAATCGAAGGTTCAGTTTGGAGTTTAAAACCAAATGGGCTAACCAAATATACATCTTTAATAAGTTGATTGATCTTTCTTATATTCTTGCGAACCTCATATTTGCCACAGATATAGCAAAAGTAGCGACCCCCAAAAACATATAAATTCCATGATCGTCTTTCGGACCTGTCACTTTTTTTTGGACGAGCTGTAATTATTTACTTTCTAAATGTGAGATATTTCTGGCTAAGCAAAACTAATTTTATAAAATCAACCCCGTGATTGATCGTTGTGTCGCAATTAGTAGAAAATATACGTACAAACAACATTTTTCGACAATGTTAATCAAATTAGCGAAATGACGTCATAAAGTTTAAAGTTTTGTGGAAATTCAGTGTTTATGTATAGGATTATTCACTAATTGCCATTTAGACAATAGAAATATACTCGTCTATATTTAAATATGTATTACCAGTAAGCATTAAAACTATTTGAACTCAAATGTTCATATCTCTGTATTTGAATCACGTGAAATGGCATATAATAAATTTTACGTGAAATCGGTGTAACCAGATAAGCATTCTTTAGACTACGTTTCATATGGAAATATTAGAATCCAAGAATCGCAACCATAAAAATTTTCGCTATATACAATAATTCTATTACGCCGCCATATTATTTAGCACTAAACGAGTTATAAATAAAGTGTATATTTGCTTTACCAGGTATACGACATACCATAAAAATCTACTTACAATAACATTTATTTATGACAGTTATTGTATGAAGATGTAGATGTCGCAATCATGCACTGTCTTAAGATGAAGTGATAAAATATCTTATCAGAAAATATTAATTACGATAAAAAAACATCGTTATTAATTTAAACCGCTACAGATTTCTAAATCAGTGTCAAATCATGTGAGCTTTCTATAGCACAAAAAACAATGAGAAGATTAGATAACCAATTGTTTTAACTTTTAGTTCAGTTTTTACAAATAACAGACTGCATCTAATTAACGTATACGCATGTTCAAAAATGATAAATAAATACTTGGGGGAAAATAAAATATTTCCTAGACAAAGTGAACCAGCGCAAGAAAATAGTGTGCAATGGTATTATATAGTTCCGTCTGTATCTCTCGCCGTTGTACTTCTAGTTGTTGTAGTCTTGGTTGTACGGAAGTGTATCGGTAAGTTTTCCTTTTACAGTTAATTTTTTTCAGATGAATCCCAATTATAAAGTAGTTTATCAGTCATTTACAATTCAATTTGTTACTTTAAGAATGTTGTTGGCTCGGGAAAGAATAATAATGATAATAGAAATGTTTAGCTATAAACTTCAAACAAGGAAAATGTTCTGCAACCCATTTCGGCAAATGTATTTACGATTTAAATAATTATATGCTTAAAAGGCAATTAATATCATATATAAATGTAAAGCTTTGCTTCATTGCGAGGTGTCGTGTGTATAGTAAAAAACGGAAACTATACCACAAATAACTTCAGACAATGTCTCAAATAGTTTGTTACAAGAATCAAACAGCTCCAGTTACGCAATCTTGTAAAAAATTAAACTACTGATCTAATATCATATGTCTTCAACGTTCGTAATTGAAATGTGTCTAGTAATTTACCCAATCCAAAAAAAAAACATACTCTGAATGTGTTGACGGTAGAAGTAATTCAAAACAGCATCAGAATTTCTAATTTATTACATTCAATGCATCACATTGATACTGAAGAAATAAATTATACTAATTACAATAAAAATGACATTGACATAAAAATCAGGTTTGTTTAAGAGGTAATTGGTTACCTAAACCATTTCTTTAAATATAGTATTGTCGGTAGAGCCTTGCCTACAATCAAAATTAATGAAAGGTAGTTTGATGATATTTTATATTATAATTTTTTTTATCGACATCCTCAGTCTATCCCGGAACTATGTACGTATACAAAAAACAAAATCATATCATGTGACTATGGTAAAATTGTAATATTGAATTTTTAGTTACCGAAAGTCATAGTCACTTGCTATTGACGTTTAAGGAGCTACATGCTTTCTCTTAGACTAACTAAATAAAAAACACTAAATTTTAGTATTATCAACATTTTAATTGAAATTTAATCTAGTCGATTTTAGTGTAGGTGAAATATATGCTGCCAAGGAAATATCATAATCTTATATGTCACTGCAACTCAATACCTGCAATTTTTTGTATACCTAAGGGCACAGAGCGATCTATTAATCTGTAGGTGCTATGAAACATGACTGGTATCACACTAGGCACTAGGCGAAATAAACTTGGTAATCATATTGTGGGGATCAAGTATTTCACGAAACAAGAATATAAGGGGTATATGTCCCGACTACATACCCCAACTTACATTGAATTTCTAGACAGAGAAATTGCTTCTCACAATGCCATTAGTTACAAAATTGATTTTAGTGTTGTAAGAGATTCTGAAGATGCGCTTGGAAAAATATCCATAACAATAGCATGAAAAAACCGTTGTTGGCGAATGTTCTTTTCGACAACACGAAAGGCAAACTTTTTCGCCACAAGCGACACTTTGCAATACTGTTGCTGTTGTTAAATTCACCATTTTCATATATTCGAGACAAATGAAATCATCATTTCCAAAATAATAGTTTGCGTTTTTAATTTTGTAACAGTTACATCATGTAGAATTAAATTCTCTGGCTCTTATTGCTTATGTCCATTTGTTTATGGTCTAAACTAAATTATCGAACATTTTACAACTCTAACTAATTTAAACAATATTGAAGCTTTATTTTGTATTAATATATAGTGATATCATAGTCTTTTGAAATTTCCATCATTATGTATGAAAATGTTTTTTTTAAACTTCAATTTTTTTTAATTACTGTTGTATACTTAATTATTATTTACCTAATTGTTAAAATGTTACATGATTTTAAAACATATTTTCTTGTTTTTGAAATGTTTGTTTCTCAATAATGTGAGATAATTCACATCTGGAATTAACTAAGAGGTTGTTAACAGTCGTCATGTTTGTGTTTTTTATAGATAACAAACACAAAAATCTAGCAAAATGAATGCATTAACGACAAATGTCTTTCAATGACCCGCCATTTTGGCTTAAAAGTAGTGGTTCAATCAATTTCAATACTTTTACATAAAAATCATCTTACAAATAATTTTCCAAAATGTTTTTTTTTTATAAATTTATTGTAGTATTAGAGCTTCAAGATTACAAATCACCATAAATCGGTTGATAAAGTGAAACAAAATAAAATTCCATTTCATTTAACTGATCACGCTAATATATAGCATAATTTACTTTGTAAATATACCTATTTTAGTAAATACATCTAAATGATAATAAGAGATATCAAAGAAGTAAACATAAAACAGAATATTTACATTTTAAAACAATACGGTTTCCTAATTTTACCAGAAGGAGACATAGATAGTGTCGAGCAATATACAGGTACTTTTAGGAACTGTTTTTTTAAATAATTTTAATTAGTAGGCAACTATTCAAAAATACAAGGGATAAATAATCATTATTAATAAAAGGCAACAAATTTACAATTTCGACAAAGTTCGTTAAGATAAAAAATTATCTTATAGACAATAGGCATAGGCTATAGGAAAAAATTGGAGTGGATATTCTCTTATGCCATGTTCCGATACAAAATGTAGCGATTGTATGTATCCTGTAACTTAAGGATTGGTTTAATGGAAGTTTTTTGTAATGTTGAACGGCGAACATCGGTTGTCTTACGAGATATATCCACAAATTAAGAGTACCCAATTTTTTATAAATCGAAACGACAGTATATTTATGAAAAATTTACATATTTAGAAAAGTACATCAAACACTATTTTTCGACGTAATCGTTTTTAACCTCAATGTACTTCCTGAGCCGAGGGATGATCTTTCTGACCTTCATCAAAAAAATATCCTGCCGCCTCTCGGGCCAATTGTTTGACGGCACTCTGGACCTCATCATCGGTAGAAAACTTTTCCTTCCATTGCCCTTCAGAGAAGACAAAATATGAAAATCAGAAGGTGCCACGTCAGGGCTGTGAGAGGGGTGGTTGATAATGTTGCAACCGAATGAATTCAATAGTTGCTTTGTGGCTTTGGCTGTGTGAGGACATGCTTTGTCATGCAACAAATACACTCCCTTCGTTAATATGCCTGCAGAAGAAATCTGGAGATTTGTGGAAACACTGCGGTCATCTCATCCAAACTGTCATCAGTCACAATTGAGGGACGCCCACTCGTTTGTGCATGATGAATATTCGTTGTGCCAGCTTTATAATTACAATATCAAGTGTACACATTAATACTCGTACCCATAAACAGTTTTGATTTCCTTAAAAATCTGGGATGGCGCGTTTCCATTGACAAGAAGAAACTTATTACGCTCCTCACCTCGCAGCTGTCGGATAGCGGCACTTATTTTTTTAACACGCCTCTACAACAACAGTTCTCAACTGACTGAAACAATGAGCGCGTGTTCTGTTCCCAACAACTTGGTCTTGAAAGCAGTGTTGCCAACTTTGTCGAAAATAAAAACTACAGAACATCAATTAAAATTATTTTCACGATCAAATGCATAGTATATCCATCGCAGAGGCCGTGCTGAATTTTTTATGCTGGATCCTGGATACAATAGTCTCTCTCTCTCAAATCGTCTCAATAATTTAAAAAACCCTTTTGCGATATTTTTATTTGCGATGTAATATTTTTATTACAGCGTAAAAGCGAAATTTTCTCATGTTTTTGCGGTTAGTTTCATGTTCTCGATCTTAATTAGTTGGCAATATTGTGTGACATTTACAAATTTGGTTTTATATTATTTATCACCGTACGGGCCTACGGTTTTACTTATTTTGTTCAACCCAAAAATTTTCCAAAGTTTGTACATGTCCCATGGAGACACCATATGTTCAGAAACTGGATATAATACAAAAAACATAGGTAGAGATGTTTTAAAATCTTATGAGCTTTGACCTTCATATGCGCAGAAACATAATTCCGACCGTCGCCTATAAATTATTCTACGTCCTAAAAACATTACACCTATTACTCACACTCTCTCTCGAGCTCTAGCGTAAACAAGCCTTTGATCCGATTACAAATATCATAATAAAATGCCCTATTCTTTATTATTTTAATTTAAACAATAAAAATATATATAACGAACGTTCGCCAGTTGACTTTATTGATGCCCGAGCGCCTTAGTTCATGTCTACTTGTAATGATGCACATGGTCTAGTTCTGAGTCAATGTTTTCACAACGTGCTTATTAGAAAAAATATGGGGATACGCCACGACTTTCGAGCATTTCGCGGCTCATGAGATATTAAAAGACCTCTACCTACTTAATTTTTCTTTCTGTTTATGATTACGGAAAACACGTTAAAGTACAAAAAGTATTTAAATGTTTATTGCATATCAATCATGATTTCTCTATTTATGTTCAATTTCCTCTATCAATTCTCCATATGTCATGCATGTTTAACAGATTTAGATAAAATATATGAAAGGATTAACGGATTTAAAAGGGTACCTTAATAATTACAGATTACTATAACAGCACTTAAAATTGATTTATTTTGAATTGTTCAGAGAAATATGTCTGTAATCATATTTATATAATTTGCTTCTGTCTAGCCCAAAATTTAACATATTATTTATCTTTATGGTTTATAAAAATTAATCGAGATACCACTAGTGACCGCCTTCATTCAAGCCTTATCTGCTTGTTACATGATGATGTACCATTTTCTGTGTTGGTAAGATGTAACCTACAAACCATATATCATATCAGATTTATATAGAATCGTAGGTCCCTTGTTTAAGCACAATTAGGAAAGTAAAAGATCCCTACCCTACGACAAAATTTGTAGGTTGGGGTTTGCTCGTCTCCAAGCGTCGCGTCGCGTCGGTGTTTAACAGAAAGAGGCTGACGTAAAATAAACAAATGGAAAATATGTAGTCCAATTATTGGAACTGAGTAAAGTCTATACGTAACGGTTAAGATAATAAAATAATCAACAATAGTTCGATAACGAATCATATTGTAACTAAATTATGAAGTTTATTTATTTTAAAAGAATTTGCTTTAATTATAGAGAACACTGGAAGAAATTCAAAGGTAGAAATTAAACTTCAATAAGCAACGCTT